ACTCAATATTTCTGACTGTAACATGCGACATTCTGCTAAATCTGTAAAAGTGTGTTTATAAATGAAAGTATGAATAAAAAGCTGCAAAATCTGTTTATTTGTGTTTCCATCTTTCATCAGTTTTCAGCCAGATCAAATATACAGAAACAAACAGACCATAAAGGAGAAGATTGTGAAAGCAAATGTAAAAAATAAACATAGAAAAATGATCTTTTATGGGATTGTCAAAAGCTACAAACCAAAGTGCCCCAACATATATATCATTCTACTCCAAGGCCTGTATCAAAATAAGGTCTAAAACACTGAAACGACACTAAAACATAAAACATCATCATCTAAATATGTTTCTGAACTGCAAACAGAACATTCAACTTCCAGAACTTCTTCATCTTTAACTACCTCCGCTCCATCTTTAAGTTTACTCACACTGATATTGCATCTTTAACTATAGCTTCCCAGCAAGTGATCATCCTGGCTTAACCACTTGATCCTGATAACTTTGGTTCATAGACGTGAAGACGATGCTTTCCACTTTATACTACATGCTTAACACAGTGAGCTGGGTGGATGCAGGAAAACTGCAGCAGTGGTGCAAAGGTGTGGAGAAGAAGGCATCAGTGTGTAGCAGCAGAGAGCCGGGTTAAGTGGTGAAACTCTCATGGCTGTAGATCAGCGAGCACGGCGACTATTCTGCTTCATCAGTCAGCGTGAACCTGGAAAAACCAGCCAGCAAACTTCAGCAAAATAAATAAAGTCAAACGCTGAGTTTGTTTTGATCTGTTCAGCTCACCAGTCTGTGATCCCAGACTTCAGGTCAGTCTGGGCCAGCTCGATCTGCACCTAAAGAGATCAGCAGAGACTCTCCTCAGGGCTTTTCAGAATAAAAGCATAACGTTACCAGCCATGGTTCCTACCTCCTTTTCATATTTACGTCTCTATTGTAAAGCAACCTCACAACATTCTATGACTCTCTTAATATGCATAATGTACTGAAAGAATATAGACAAACCTGTCCAACCACATCTTTGCTCCTGAAGGAGGCGGAGTTATTTTTCACTGACACAACCAGGCGCCTGAATCTTGTCTCCTCCTCTGGCAGATCATACTCGAACCTTAAAGGTAACCCCCCAGAGTTACATCCAGGATAAAAACACCCGTACAGAAACGTACACAATATATATATTTACCTTTCGTTGAACTCTGGGTTGAGGTCCTTCTTCTTCACAGCTGTCTTTTTCTTGGTGGCTTTACTTTTGTCTGGCAGCAGCATGATGGAGACGTAGCTGTCAATGCTGTCCTTACTCTGTGACGACAGACCTCTGTGTGCAGCGAAAAGACGGATTCATGAACTCGGATTCAAATCTGAGACTAGCAAACAAAGACCAGAATTTTGTTGAAGCTTTAAATGAAACGCTTCACACCTGCAGGCGTGGACAACTACCAGGAGCTTTTTCTCCCTTGCTGCATATGAAAGAGACAGCTTCACCTGTCCATTCCCAGGTCCAGGAGCAGCACAGGGCAGAGTCCCCGCACCAATCAGATCCACCATTCTGGAATTCAGAATCTAGAAAATTAAATCAAGACTGTCAGTAAAAGTCATCAATCTGTCAATGAAAGCATCTAACTTAAACACCACCTTCAGTTCCGCTCTCAGTAAGATCTGACTGTCAGGAGTGGCTCCATCCAGATGGAACCACTGGTCCAGAACCAGCTGTGGTTGGGCAAACAGCTCCTTTATGGTGACCACTAGAGATCCCATTGGCTGCTCCCAACCGCTGGACAGCTGCAGCACAAAGGAAACGACGGTTCAACTCTGACTGATCAGCACAAAGCAACAAATCTTGCAGGTAAATGAAGGTTCTACCTTCACTACAAGCATCTGACGCTTAGGGTCGTGGATTAAGAAGTAGAAAGACTCGTTCCACTTGGGATTGGCACTCCGCTCACACAGCTGAAAACAAGTTATTTTAAAGCTATTACTGATCGTTGAAAGCAGCAGCAGAATAGTGTGATGGAGAGACTTACGCTGGTTCTGTAGACTGTGTCACCCACAACCAGCTCAGCTCCTGCTTTGGGTTCTTTCCCACTCTTCTTAAGCTGTTATGGTTAAAGTGAACATTGGAGTTATTTTCACAAGGGATCGTTTTCAAGATCGTCTCAGTAACAAGTGTAAACAAGCTGCGGGGGACTCACAGGAAGTGAATGTGCTGCTTCTAAGTGGACGAAGAGCAGCGCTGCTGAGGGGACAGCCTTGTTCTGGTAAGACTGCAGAGACTGAAGCTGCAGCACCTAAAACAGGAACACATTCGTGGCTTTGTGTGTTAGCACGTTCCTCAACAACACCTATTCAAAAAGTGAATTAGGCCACGGTGACGATTTTCAGACATGAGAGACCACACCCGAGGTGGTAACAAATCACCGATGTACCAGCTTTGGTCCTGCAGTGTGTGGTGCACGGCAAAAACACACAGGAACATTCCCAGCCAGACGGGCATCTCACAAAACCTCTTGAGATCAAACGCAACTTAGGAGCAAACGAAGATGACAATCAGTAAGAACGTCCTGTTCTGAACGGTTGGATCATGATCCATCCATCAAACCGGCCTCTGGCCGTCCCGCCCCTCTCTGCTCATGAGCCTTTGTACACAAAGTGCTCGTTCTGAGCTTGGAACAGTTAAAAGGAAGAGAAGCTAGAGCTAGGTTAGCTTAATTAGCTAGCATACTAGGTTGTTATATATTACTTAGCCTGAGTGGAAGTAGCTGAGGGGGTTTCCAGTGTAATAAGGGGAGTGCCACTGCTAAACGATATAACACCTTTCAGAGACAGAGGACTCCAAAGAGCTTTACACGACACTGTACACCCGATAAGTCCCAGTAGCCTCTTTTAGAAAACAATGTCGTCAATGTGCCACAACGCCGTGGCGGCATCAGAGAGCCTTGGGTTGTTTATAAGTAGTCAGACTGTGGCGGTAATGTGGCGCAATCGTGTCCTTTTTATAAAAGATTAGGCGATGGCGATATAAAGGGGGTATGGGGGCGGTCTCTGCACTGCCATAACTGACAAAACTCATTTTTTATTGCGATTTAAGTCGCGCTCATTATGTTTTTTTTTACAAGCTGCTCCTAAAGGTGTCCGTCACTCACAGTCCCTGCACAGTCTCTGGTGATCTGAGCTCCAGCTCTAATGGAGAAAAGCTCCTGGAGCTCTGCATCGCTCCAGTTTATCATCTCAGCTGATTCTGTTAACAAAAGCAAAACTACGGCTCGTGTTCATTTTAATTGGCAATACAGTTGCCGACCGGAGCTCGGCTGTAACTCCCCCCGTGATCATGACACCTCCCTCTGTTGCGCCAAGGCGTGATATGTATTCATGAGTCCGGCGCTGCAGCAATATTACTACCAAGCGTGCCAGCACGAATGCTGCAAATTTACACGCAACGCCATGCCGCCACGGCGCATTCAGAAGACACTCAGCGGCGGCAGGATTACGCTTGGTGTGTCTTCTAAAAAGGGCTAGTGTCTTCTGTCTCTTAGCTTTCAGTGGGGAGAGAGTCCTGAGAACTCATGTGTGGCACAGAACACGAGTCCGTCAGAATCGTGCAGGCTCTGTGGTGATGACATTAACAATTATAACAGAAAAAGGTATAAACAGCTAGGATAATGCTATGTTTGACAGTATCTGGCATTCTCTTGTATTCTGGAGGCGTGATTTGAGGGGTGGGGCGGGGCTCAAGAAAAGGGGACTGGACTGATGAACTGTGCCTTTTTCATAATGGAGCTTTAATGTTCCAGATTTAAGATCACAGCGGTCCTGATGTCATTCCAAGCAGACCAGAGTGATCTTAACTCACCACACACGGCAGGAACATCTGATAAGATTATCTTTAGAGCCATTATGGCAATCAGATGCATCCTTAAGATGTACGAGGAGAAATGATCAAAAACATCTTGCTGTGTGAACTGGGCCTAAGGAAACATGGAGATTAAAGAAGGCCAACCTGTTCAAGCCTGTCTGTGTTGGACACCGCAGGAACCCATTCTAGTATCACATGAACTCGTCCAGACTTCACGTCCTTCAGACTGAACCACTGCAACAAAGAGAGAGAGAGAGAGCTGGTAAAGAGGAGGAGAAACAGACAAATTACAAGTTGTGACTAAATATCAAGAGACAATGACTCACCTGGTCTGTGTACCTTGATCTGATGACCTCATTTAGCTTAACAGCAAACCTGTAAACACCAGTGCAGGTAAATGGTTAACTAGCTTTAGCACATTCATTTGAGTGATCGTGACTTCCAGCTGGTAACAAATGAAAACTGTAGTTTAAAGGAAAATATTTGCTGATAAGATTCCACATGTAGCGTTAATGTCAACAGCTGAGAAACCACTGATCGCTTATTGGCTGGTTAGCTTAACACACACCTTCCTAGAAAATCATCAGCGTCTATGTCCTTATCGAAAGCTTCAAACTTGATGTCTTGATCGCCACTCCCACTTAGAACCACCTGTTTCCAAACACAAACACACCTTTATAGAACAACTAAACCTATAAATCCAAACCCACAAAGAGTGCTGACGGTCTACACAACCCACCTCGTACATTTCATTCCACGTTGGGTTTAAATTCTCTTTGATCACGTGACTCTTAAATGTCACTTTGTCTATGTGGATCTTTACATAAGGATCACTCTTGCCCTTCACCATGCCACCCATCATGTTATCCTTGGCTTCCAGATCTTGGGCCTCCAGTAGGTGGATCCTCAGCACCCCCTACAGGATGAAGATGGAAGGTGTTTAAAAAAATACATGTAAAAGTAAACTAAACCTGCAAATTCTTATAAAATGTGCACTTTATACCACTGACTCTAGTTATAAATGGTCTGTTTCTCCTTTTTCACAGACATGACACACAAACATACAGAGAGTCAAAAAACTATTAACCTGATTTAGCCTCTAAAAGGTTTACATTTACCGTTCTATGTCTAAAGATGCTGTTAGAGTAGGGAATATGTAGTTTAGGAAGGCAGATGAGTTATTTAGAAAACTCGTTAACATCCTTTCAAACATTCTCCAACAAATAATAAAAAATAAAATGAAAGAATGGATGATTTTCACTCATTTTTACTAAGCAACATTCCCTCAAAACGAACAGATGTAGTGAAAAACACTGGTATTTCATGCATATGACTGAAAACTGTTGATGATGTAGTTTCATAAAAAGCCCTCCCACCTCCTTAGCGAACCGCGGGCCTGGTGCTGTGTGTGGTGGAAGACTTGGAGCCACTTTGGGGGTTCCTGTAACTTCTGCTGACACCACAGGGTCCGAGGGAAGACCTGAGAACGTGGCCTGAGCTAGATCTTTTAAACCAGAACTACAGATGTACATAAACATAAAAAAACAGAAGTTAATACATGAATCATTATGTTTTTCATTCAAAAATAGTTTTTTGTGGGCAATAATGATGAGTGACGTTGAGCTCACCCTTCTGTCTGGGTTGTCTTTGGATCAAAGTCTTGTTTAACCGCTGTGTGAGACTGCACTGGCTCATCAGCATCCGTTGGTCCTCCCATTTCCTGGAAAACATTGTAAGATAAAAAAAAATGAAACAGACATCTGGAAAGTTATATCCACATCTTTTTGTGTCGTGACTCACTGCAGGAGAAGGAAATGTCTTAACTTCAGCCTTGGAGTCTGCAGGATGCTCCGATACTGACAGAGACCTGAAAGCACGAGTGGGTCCTCACTAAAACCATCCCAGTAACACTTTAGTGTGAGCATGAAATCAGACACAAAACCTACTTATTAGTTGGCAAGTGTGAGTTTTTCTTCTCCTCACTGGCTGCTTCTGGTATCTTTTTAGCTGGGGTGATTGGGACTGCTGATCTGGGATCAGCTCCAGATGCTTTTGGGACTTCTGATCTGGGATCAGGTCCAGATGCTTTTGGGACTTCTGATCTGGGATCAGGTCCAGATGCTTTTGGGACTTCTGATCTGGGATCAGGTCCAGATGCTTTTGGGACTTCTGATCTGGGATCAGGTCCAGATGCTTTTGGGACTTCTGATCTGGGATCAGGTCCAGATGCTTTTGGGACTTCTGATCTGGGATCAGGTCCAGATGCTTTTGGGACTTCTGATCTGGGATCAGGTCCAGATGCTTTTGGGACTTCTGATCTGGGATCAGGTCCAGATGCTTTTGGGACTTCTGATCTGGGATCAGGTCCAGATGCTTTTGGGACTTCTGATCTGGGATCAGGTCCAGATGCTTTTGGGACTTCTGATCTGGGATCAGGTCCAGATAGTTGTGGGACTTCTGTCATCCGCGTGTCAAGGATCTGTTAAAACAAATGTTTTATTGGTCTCTGTCTCCTTTAAACATCGGCAGTAATCTGAACATCTCCTGTACCTTCAGCTCAGCCCTGAGGAGGATTTGACTTTCAGGCAGAGCTCCATCCAGATGCATCCACTGGTCCAGGACCAGCTGTGGTTCAGAAACCACCTCCCTCACAGGAAGCACCAGAGATCCCATGGGCTGATCCCAAGCACTGGATAACTACAGACACCAGAACACCAATAACACGCTCTGATCACAGCAGATGGCTTTAGGTGTTGTGAGACATTTCGTACACCCACCTTCAGGATGAGCATCTCCTCTTTAGGGTTGCGAACCAGGAAGTGGAATCCTTCGCTCCACTGTGGAGATCTGGAGCGATCACAGACCTTCAGACAGGACAGCAGAGACAAACGGTTACAAATGGATGAACTGATGGACATTCTGTCAGCTTCCTGTAGATTTTTATTGTAATTAATTTGAATAAAACAACCAATGTTACCAAAAAAAAAAACATTAAAAACAAACTATCTGTAGCTTTCATTATTCTCCCACCTTTGTTTTGTAGGTCTTGTTACCAAATACAAGCTCCGCTCCAGCTTTGGGCTCCTTCCCACTTTTCTTTAACTAGATGCAACAACAGCAGCTTGTTCAGTAATTATAGGATCAGATCCAGTACGTTAATTACAAGAACATCAGGTCTGTTTTGAACTCTAATAACTACTCAGAAGGATTTATTTTGTGTATGACTTCATCAGCAGATGCTCTCGCCTAAATCCATGAGGATAGAAGCACCAGTGACTCACGGGCAGAGAGTGAGCTCTGTCCACATAAACAAAGAGCAGCGCTGCAGAGGGAACCGCTTTGTTCTGGTAGGACTGGAGAGCCTGCAGATGCATCACCTGCAGCCAAGAGGTACAGATGAAATACATCAGACTGACTCATGCAGACTTTAATCATGTTTAAATTGATGCAAACAGGAATTAGTAGAAAGATAAACAGAGTATAAACTGATTGCATCAGAAAACCAAAAGAGAATCATTGATAAATAACATGTACTGGCCTGGTTCAGCCTGTCACTACGGGATACGGCTGGAACCCATTCCAGTATGAGACGAACACGACCAGACTTCACGTCATTCAGGCTGTACCACTGAAACCCACACAGCCAGTTACAGGCCATCACCAAACAGGTAAAACCATTAAATAACCTGGACTGGAAGCACTGACCTGGTCTGTGAACTGGGACCTGATTATATCTGAAACACTGATTTTGAACCTGTTTCAGAACAAAAACAAGATGCACATGTAAATGTATTCATGCAAACCAGGAAATGTCAGAGTTTATACTCAGAGTTGTTATGATATAACATCCTAAATGTGTTTTTTTCCCTTCATTGCAAATAGACAAAAAGCAGCTTCTATCTGTTCTGCAGAATTAATTTTCAGCTTTGATGTCAGCTTCTATGAAGAATAAAAAAAATAATAATGTTTTTTTTCTCTGAGTCAGGAATGTCCAAGCTGTGGCCCAGGGGCCACTTCTGGCCCTTGGAGTAGTATAGTGCGGCCCTCGGCTGCTTTTCTAGGATGATGGACTTTGTCTCTCCAGCAGGTTGTTGATGTGGCGTGATGCTCTTCTACACTTTTATGTTCACATTTTTACTGATAGGTCAATTTCAGATCATTGTTGAGGAGTAAAAAAAATCAAACAACAAAATGATTTTTGCTTTTTTTTTAATTAAAAATCCCATTTTTGTGTCCCACGACAACCATTCATGTGACTAGTTTGGACACGCCTGCTTGAAGTAAAACTATAGTTCATTCACAACATTTGTTTTAGGATGAATATCTCTGTATTTGCCTTTTAAACACATAAATACTAGGGATGAGCGAGTACACCACTATCTGTATCTGTATCTGTTCAACCAACTAAATTATCTGTATCTGTATCTGTACTCGGAATGGGCGTGGTATAACCCGGAAGTGGGTGTGGTTTAACCAGAAGTGGGTGTGGTTTACATCAATATATTATTTTAAGTCTGAAATTGATATGGATTGTTCAGAAGTTGATATGTGTATTGTTTATTTGAAAACTATTTACAGAGCAACCTCAGAATTGAGATTAAATATTTTTGATCACAATAGTAAAGAAACTATTTCAGAACAAGTTTTTCAATAAAATCAGAACATTAATATTTAAGTGCATGGATTAATACATCTGAACTCATGCAGTAGGAACTAGGAAATATATTTTTTATTTTAATTTGATTAAACTGATTATTTTCTTAACGTTCTTGGCATTTTGCCCCACACAAAGTTAAACAAAACAATGTTGATTAAGGTGTGTGTGTCTGAGAGAGATAGAGAGGGTGAGAGGGAGAGAGAGGGAGTAAAAAAAAAATAAAAAACCCGACCGGAGCAGAGGTAGTGAGTGACTTGATGCAGAACGTCAGCTCTGTCTTGTCAAATGCACCATGTAAGTTACGAAAAAAGTAACTTTAAATATTCAACCGAAAAAGAGGCGAGCTGAAGAAAACCTAGGGAAAACTGAAGAAACGTGAGCAACAGTGAAGCAAGCACAGCGAGATCCGTTACTGTGTGTGCGTGGATGAGCTGGACGGACTGAGCTCCCGGCCGGCTAGAGAGTTTTGTGTGTAGGGAGGGGCGGGCGCTCTATGTGACTGGCCAATCACAGAGCGTGAAGACAGTCAGTTACCCAATGAGGATTTCCCTTCAGCACGATTACAGATATTTACGAGTTTTACTCGTGTCATGCTCGTACTCGTCAAAAACGCTTTATCCGTACCGGATACTCGTCTGAAACGAGTATCCGGCTCATCCCTAATAATTACTGAATAATAAAATGAGAAGGTAAAAATTCACCCTCACCTGCCCAGGAAATCATCTTTGTCCATGTCTTTATCGAACAGCTCCACCTGCACCTCCTGGCCTGCCTGAGGCCGCAGCACCACCTGAGAAAACAGTTTAAAACCATAAACAGGTTTCCTGTTGTACATTAAAATGTCCCTTTATGAACACACACCTCATACAGCTCGTTCCACACCGGGTTGAGATTCTCCTGGACCACCGCGCTCTTAAACACAACCTCTCCCATGCTGATCTTAGCGTAGGGGTCACTCTTGCCCTTCTTCAAGCCTCCCATGATGTTATCTTTAGCAACCAGACTCTGGGCCTCCAACAAGACCATTCTCAACAATCCCTGCAAGGACGATGGAGTTTACTTGCACTGTTTTATGTTAAATCTAAACTCGCCATGCCTTACTTCCTGCAGATTTACCTCACTAGCAAAGGTGATGTCAGGGGACGTGTGAGGAGGTTGTGGTAAAGCAGAGCTTAACGACTCCTCCACCTTCTCTTCATCTACATCAGCTGCAGTTTCCTTTACATTAACCTCTTCATCCACAGTCACAGAGGAGGTGATTGTCTCAACACGAGGAGTGTCCACTGAACTTGACCTTAAAACACACAGATAAGGAAAACATTAGGCAAATGCTCCTGTTTCAGGAACTAGAAGTGAGCCAAAGAAGTGGTGGACGAGAAGACGGCAGGATTTGGAGTCCTTTGCCTGATATTTAGACATCTCTACCCGAGCTGCATTAAATCCTCAGCTCGCTGCGCTACCGCGATCCGAGCTACGGAGAGCCATCTGCCAGTTATCTCGCCGGTCCCGTCGGCTAGCCGCTCATAGCTTGTAGAATAACCTGCTTGTCTGTGTTCATCCAGCACACTGACTTCCGTGTTTGGGTTTACCGACATGCTACAGCATTTCCCTGTGGTCACATGACTTCTCCTCTCAGGATCTGTCTTCGGTGTTGGTCACTATATATCATCCGGTACATGACAGCGCAGCAGTCTTCTTCCAGCATGTGTCAGATGTTGAACACAGCTGATTTGTTTGATATAGTGATGAACCGCTCCCGTAGAAACTCATGAAGGCTGAGGAGACATTTCAGCTGTTGGTGTTGAAACACGAGAGGACAGCCATTTGTTTTCACAACAGTTAATTAAAACTGAGACTAGAGGGTGTTAGAACACGCCAAAACTTACTTAGTTTCCCTTCAGTGGAAACGGTTTGAAACGGTGCCGAGACGGGTCAAGTAAGTTCTAACAAAATGGGCTCATAATTTACCTGAGTACTGTGTCTTTCTCCTGTTTGGGCCTGGCTGGAACTGGGTCTGATGCTGTGGGGACTTTGGTCTTTTCAGTAGAACCAGGACATTTGGTGGGAATCAGCATCTGAAATGAAATTAGTTTAAAAACAACGCACTGATCCTTTTGTTATAAAACGTACCAAAAGGGTCCATTTTTCACGTAACAACCCCCCCCCCCAACGCCTCGTGGTCTTCTGCCATGGCCCCGTGACCTTGGAAACCAAAAGGGTCCATTTTTCACCATCCACCTGACCAACATGGTGAACTTTCATCTACAGCATAAATCCACTTTCTGCTTGGCCTTCTAAATCCAGAAGGTTCTGTTCAGTGCGTGTTTACATACAGACGACAAAACATCCAGACAAACATTCTCTCCCAACGCTCCTGCACTCTCTGTGAAAGCCAGACGTCAACATTCTTCACTCTGAATAAGTGAAGACTCCACGATGTTATAGGTATAAGTTAAATAATCATATGTGATGAATGAACACAATGTTTAAATGAAATGTTTCAATAATCTGTGCTTACATCAATGAATTTGAAATGAATATTGTTCTTACAGTGATCATTTATATCACAAATCATTACCGTATTTTCTGGACTATAAGTCGCACATTTTTTCATAGTCTGGCTGGTCCTGCGACTTATATACCAAATTATGTAGGCCAAACCGCGCTGCTGCCGGCCGGCTCCGACCCAGGAATGAACTCCCCTGTCCCGCTGGGAGGGTTTGAAACACCGCCATGCTCTGCTGGAGACCGTGGCGCGCTGCTGCGCATACCGCCGATGCAACAGCTGATTGTTTATTCTGTTATTGTTACCGGTACTTGTCTTGCAATGTGAAATGCTTGGTCTCAGATTTTGTAAGAAAAATAATAAAATTTCCCCCCAAAATGCAACTTATAGTCCAGTGCGACTTATATACGTTTTTTCTTCTTCATTATACATTTTATGGCTTATACTCTGGAAAATATGGTATGTGTTTGATTTAACAAGTTAATCATTGTTTACACTCATACACATTACAATAAGATACTCATTAAGGTCAATATGCACCTCACATAAGAGATTTAAGACATTCTCATTCCCAGTGATAAAAAGATCTTTGTATCTGAGGAGGGCCTGGCTTCCAGAGGGATGTTGGTAAATACTCGGAAACGTGTCAAATTCTGATTGGCCAAACTTGGCCAGAAATCATAACAAAGTAGTTTAATAAAACAAGAATAACTTCCTGATTAATTCAGTTTCTCTCTGACCCTCGAAACGGCCCTATTCGGGAAAGAAGCCTCTTTTGATAGCATCTTCTCCTTTGTCCTCCTGTCAAAGCCTCTCTGCATCGCTGCGGCTGATACCAGACAACCGGCTCTTCTAAGAGCCAAGCAAAAGGTAACCTTAGAGGCAAATAAGCGTTCCAGCTTCCTGCCTTCACCTGGAGGGATCTCAGACTGGGCGGGTCTTATCGGAACTGTCTACGGGTTCCTGATATCAGAGTTCCCTCCACCGGCAGTGACCCGCACGACCCCCCCGGATTGAACGAGAACCTCCACACCAAGGGTGTGTAGACTTGGCACGACAGAGTGCGCCTGATGCTGTTTTTAATAAACAACTCTCTAGTTTAGAACAAACAACAACTTCTTTTACACCCAGATTTCACAATTTCTCTCAGAAACAAAGAACGGTTGCTACAACATCTGGCTTCCATCACACCACCTCACATCCACCACGCCACATCTCATTAGTCATATCTTGTCAAGTATCATTAGTTTAGGAAAAAGAATTAAATTCATTTTATAAACTATACACTGACTCTGTCTGAATTAATACGAAGTGTGTTTATGGTCCCTAAAGAGGCAAAGAACCCTGCAATCTTCTGATTAAACATTCAAAGATCAATCAGATTGATATTTCATATTTGTATGGAATCATCACCTCGTATTGGTCACAATTAATTCATATGTTTTAACTGCTACTATATCAAAAGACTAGAAACATTTAAAGACAGAGAAAGGAACCATGAGTTAGAGTTATGAGCATTCATCTTGATGGATGAAAGTATCCCCCTACCTTTAGCTCAGCTCTCAGTAGGATCTGACTCTCAGGTGAGGCTCCATCCAGATGGAACCACTGATCCAGGACCAGCTCTGGTTCAGACAGCAGTTCTCTGATAGGAACCATCAGAGAGCCAATAGGTAGGGTCCAGCTGTGGGAGAGCTGACCCCCCCCCCCCCCCCCCCGCCCAGTGATTAGTGTTGGTTTATGAGACAGGAGACATCTCTCTGTGCCCGACAGGCCGCCTACCTTCACAGACAGAATTTCCTTCCTTGGGTCACGAACACGGAAGCAGAAGGCCTCGTTCCACGAGGGCGACGTCGTACGATCACACACCTTCGCAAGAAAGCCACTGACCGGTCAAATTCTCATTTATTATGGACATTTAAATCAGGGATAGGTTTTCCTGAATGGAGTTTGGAGTCTTACTGTAGTTTTACGCGAAACGTCTCCAAGTTTTATCTCTGCGCCCACTTTAGGATCCTTTCCGCTTTTTTTTACCTGCAAAAATGAAAAGGCAACGATGTTTCCTAGAAGTTTAAACCCTAACTGATGATTATCTAAATGCAGAAGGGTCAACAGACTCACAGGTAAGCCGTCTGCTTGTTCCACATACACAAACAGCAGAGCTGCTGAGGACACTGCCTTGTTCTGATACGACTGTCTGGAGTAGAACTGAAGAACCTGAAGTCACAGATAAAAAACTGTTTCAAAGGTACCGCACCATCCAGTTCACCAGCCTAATCTAACAACGCTGACCTGATCCAGTCCGTCTGACTCGGAGGATGTTGGAACCCAGTCCAGGACCAGGTGGACCCGACCAGACTTCACATCACTCAGGTTGTACCACTGTCACAGAAGGGCAAAATACTTCAGTGTGGGGTTAAAGGTCAAACCGCACCTGTGTCTACCTAAAACGCAGCAACATCACACCTGGTCGATGTACTGAGAGGTAATGATGTCCTTCAGACTGATCTTCAGCCTGCCCATGAAGTCATCCTTCATGTCCATGTCCTTATCGAACACCTCCAGGTGCAGGTCCTGGCCTGGGAGCTGCGTTAGAACCACCTGCTCAACAAAAACAAGTCACCCACATCAAGTCACGTTTCATATTTGTACATGAAAAACGATCCATCAGGAATTCCCACGTTACCTCGTACATCTCATTCCAGGTGGGATTAAGATTCCCCTTGATGACTTGGCTTGTGAAAGTTTCCCCACCAATGTTGATCTTGACATAGGGATCGCTCTTTCCCTTCACCATGCCGCCCATCATGTTGTCCTTCGGAACCAGATTCTGGCCGGCCAGTAGGTGGATTCTGAGCAGACCCTGTGGAATAACACACACACACACACACACACTGGCATTAAAACCCCATTACTGCCTACAAAACCTTCTGTTTGCTTATAGATGGCGACCTTAACAGTTCTGTCTCCTCGTTACCTCTGTAGCAAAGCTGGAATGAGGGGAGGTCTGGTGGACCAGCTGTTTGGAGAGTCCAGCTGCTAAATTTGACGACACATCGGACTGAACACGGTCCTCATCCAACCACAAAACCTGTGTTTGATTCAAAAGGAGGTGCCAAAAGAATAAACAATATTTAGGATAAACAATATTTTTGGGAAATATAAAATTTTCAAACAATTATGGTTAAAAGCCAAGTTCATTAGTTTGTTTTTTCAATGCAGTGGTCTGCAGTAAATAAATATATATATTGTGAGTCGATCTCTGTGGGAGACAGCTCTGGCGCTCCTGTTTCAGGAGGTAAAATTAGCTAGAGGAGAGGGGAGCAGAATACGGCAGGATTTGGAGTCTTATTTCCTGATATTTTGACATCTCACCTCTGATTGGCTAACAGCAACGCAACTCGTCCTCTGACTCTGTCTGCTCTGTAACGCTGATGTTTTATCTCCACAAATAACTCAAGCCTGGAGGAGTTCTGCCGTGTTGTGGAGTTGCTAATGCTAACAGTTAGCGTCTACTAGCCAAAGCGTGTTCTGCTCTCTCCTGGACGCTAAACCAACAGCCGCCTTCCCCGTCGCGGGCCAAGATGGGTGAGGTGGTATTGGGCTAGAAGGCCATTTTCACGTTTAGCCTGCATGTCAAACTCAGAGTAATTGATCACATTTCAAAACAAACAAGTAAAAAATGGCTTCTCAGTGAACTTGGTCTTTAAGACAAATTCAAAGCAAGCCCCTTAGTTTACCCTGAGAACTGTGTTCACATAGATGCGACTGGCTGATCCAGAATTTTCCAACTGGAACCACTGGTCTAGAGAGAGGTTGGCATTTCCCAGCATGCGGGACAAAGGGATGGTCAGACTGCCCAGTGTCTGCACACGATCTGCATCCTTCACCTGGTTAGAGAAAGCCTCATCACAACCAGCTGATTAACACACGGGTCAGTGAGTTCTGTCTGACTTTACCTGGATTTTTATGTCCTGTTTGTGAGGATCTTGGACAAAGAAAGTGAAAGCTTCCTCCCACTCTGGGTTAACGGTTGTGTAACAAGTCTGAAAAAACGAATAAAAACAACATGTGTTACACAGACAGGAGGAAAGCCCAGACTAGAGTATATGAAGTGGCTCTTACGCACCTTGCTGTCTCTCGTGATGTCATGCACAGATATCTGCACCAGGGGATTGGGCTCTTTGTTTCCCTTCTTCATCTAAAACACACACACACAGCAGCATGTGAGCAGGAGAGGCACAACATTTCCGTCTTTCTGAAAACATGTGGTTATGTCAGTATTTGTGTGCAAGGTTACCATAGCAATGGGTGAGTCACACACAGCGTGGTGTGGAAGGAAGTTTGCATAAAACCCACAGAAACTGGGTATGACTCTAGCGACGGTGTTTGATTTTCTGTTAGCAGGTATTAGTTAAAAGTCGGGAGTGTTTACAGTCCCGGATTAGGTCGGTCACATTCTTCCGCGCTCCAGCAGAGCGACGGGGGCCGGAGGCCAAAACAACAGAGGTGTGGAATGTGTGGCAGAAGGCGGCTCCAGCTCTGTCTCGGCTTAACCGCACAGGAAGCTGCTCTCAGCTAAGCACCAATGTGGGCATGGAGGGCACAGAGATCTGACTCACGGGAAGTGCCTCGGCTTTGTCGAGATACACGACCAAGATAGCGGAGGACGGGGGGGTGGAGGCCTTGCTGGTGATGCCCTCGTTTCTCTTCAGGACCTGGAGGATGTTCAAACACATGGTTCTTCAGCGATAAACGAGCATTAACAGTTGAAGTGAAAACGACGGCGTCCGACCTGCTCCAGCCGCTCGGTGTTCGGCAGCAGGGCCAACCACTCCAGCTTGAAGTGGACCCGTCCGGTTGGAGTGTCTTTTAAGGTGAACCACTGAGACGACAAGCACAGAAACGCTGCTACAAGCTGCTGCTAGAAAACGTGGCTAAAGCATCAGCGGCTTTTCACTCACTTCATCAACAATTATGGATTTCTTCACGATGCCCAAATCCAGTTTGGTCCTAATAGAGGGTGAAAGTGGTGTTAATGAACAGTTTCAGCACATTTCTAATGCTTCTTGCTTTTTTTTTCCATCGCTGTTGTTGAAAGTTGGAGGACGAACGGTGGAAAAGGAACAAAAACACACGACTTATGCAGATATACCTGCCCAGGAAATCATCCTTGTCCGTGTCTTTGTCATAAACCTCCACCTCCAACTCCTGACCCGGCACTTCATGGACAATCACCTGATGTACGGGACACACACAGTGACATGACGACAGACAGGGGGGGGGCCCTATGGAAGCTGTTTAAACGTGTCACCCCGGCTTTCCACCGGAGCCGTCAGCAGCACGTTACTGCAGCAGCACGTCATAGCTCCTGATAGGAACCGCTGTGGTCAACAGAACCTTTTCCACTGGAGCCGTCAGCAGCGCGAGTCGGCTGCGTCTCAGGAGCAGCATGTCGCGGCCTTTACGCGCCGGTTCTATTTTCTACGTGCGACGCCTCTGAAACGGGTCAAGTTCGACATTTTTGGGGAAGGAAAGACAGGAAATCGGACGCGGAAATGGAGAGAAGCTCCCGAGATTTTCAGAATAAAGAATGTACTGCCTTCCGGTTGCTTTACTTTTTAAAAAAGTTACTAACTGTGCGGCCCCGTGAGAAGTTATCACCTAGCTAGCGGTCTCCTTTGTTTTTCAGGTCCGTATTGGCGATTATGAAACAGACAGAACATAAAACACGAACCATGTTGTAGTTGTCTCCTGCTTGTTGTTGTGTTTACTGACTAAAGCCGGGCGTACACTGTGCGACTTTTTCACTCGTAGCACTCAGCTTCAGCTCAAACTGTACGACTTCCTTGCAGGGCAGATCTCACGAGCCAGGCGCTCACACTGCATGACCCAGTTCTCGCATGCGACCTGACTGCTCACACTGTACATCTGGTAGCAACATGTCGGCCCTAAAAATATGCTAAAAATAGCAGTTTTTACACAACACGTAATTTGCCTGTTGTCCTTCGGGAGTGCTGCAGGAGGACACACAGGGATTTATGGGGGTTGGATGAGGAAAACGAAATAAAGAAAGTAAATCTGTGTTTTGTGATCTGTTTAATTTGACATGAACACGACAAACACGCTTTCTTGACAATCTTTGTGAGTAAAAAAAACGTGTAGAAATTAAAACGAACACCATGATGTGTTATTAGGGAAATAGCAGGCGAGCGGTGTTGATGCAGGATTGCGCATGCGCCGTGAGCGGTTCTGATACTTTTTGGGTCGCAGCTGCTCGCAGCGCCGCTTCAACAGTGCGATACCCTCACGAGGGACGAGCAAAATATCAAACATGCCAGAAATCCGTGCGAGCTCACGACTGCTGATCGGTAGCTGGTCACATGGCGTTAATCACCTCTCGTAACCCCCTGTACACTACACGATGTTCAGCGCAAAACTCGCCCCGATCTTGTGGATTCTCGCACGAGTGGAAAATCGGCTCAAAAAAGTGAAAAAGTCACACAGTGTACGCCGGCTTAAGTCACTCGTGTGACTTCGTGCTCGGTCGGTGACAGCTGCTCCCCTGCTGCTTCGCGTCTTGTGGGAAGGGCCAAGCAGCAGCTTACGCGAGCAAGACGTGCTGCTGCAGTAACGTGCTGCTGACGGCTCCGGTGGAAACCCGGGGTTATGGATAAAAAATGAACATTCAACACCATATCAGTCCCTCCAGCGTGAGACGGAGTTGTTTACGTGGGTGAAATAGAAAACACAGACGCTGCTGCAGAAGAATGACACAGATCACAAATGTTTCTCCTCACCTCGTACACCTCTTCCCACTTGGGGGCGTCGGTGTTGTCTATGTGTTTGGAGGTGAAGGTCTGAGGTCCCACTCTTAAAATAGCATAAGGGTCAGAGAGGCCAGCCATGACCCCTTTCACATAGTTGTCTTTAGCTGCCAGACCCTGGGCCTCCAGCAGATGGATGCGCACCACACCCTGGAGAAAATCAAGCAAGAATAAATAAAAGGATTTCTCTGAAAAGTAACGCTTGCAGGTGTGTTTTCAGGCGTCACCCTGGGCAAAGGACAGCGCAGGTGAGCCACACGCAAACCAGGGACCAGAGGGACGACCAGACGGTTGGGCAGAACCAGGAAGGAAGCAATGGCGTCCATGATCATGCTGTCGGACATGACGCTGCAACAAATCAGAGAGGGAGGTGTCACTGGGAGGAGAGCTAATGCATGAATTGTTTCACGTTATGTTGAAGAGATGAGAGCGTCCATCACTAATATATGAGATCCAAGACTCACTTTAGTCCAGGTATGTCCAATAAATTAGTCAGTCCAGTCCAATTGATGTCGAGTTTCTGGGAAGAAAATTGAAAGATGAGCCGAGGAGAATCCAGACTGTCCGGGAATCAATAAGACGATAATCTCAAGGAAATGTGATCGCCTCGGCGGTGCGGGCTGATGATGCAACAGGAACAGGACAAAGGAAGGTGACCTACCGGCCGACGGATGAAAAACATGGTGACCGCTCCAACAATGGGCACGTCGCCTATCAGAGGCTCCAGAATCACACGCATCATCCCGTGGAGCTGAGGACACACAAACATTCTAAAAGTTACTGGATTACTGATTACTCTGTAATAACTCAGAGTACTCTGTAAGACTAATGCACCAGCACACCTGTATTCCTTTGACTCCAGCTTTGCAGAAGTATCTCTTCACCTCCACGTTGATCTCCACGTTCCCCACATAGCTGAGGATAAAGGAGCAGAAACGTCACCCACGGCGATGCTTCGACAGGAACAACCAACCGACACAAAGCAGCTGACCTGATGTACAGGTCAAGCAGAACTTGTCCCTTGTCATTCTCAGTGTGGGCCTTGATCCCCACCACCTTCATGGCCTGAGACGAGGAGGAAATGACTGGTTCTGATCAGGTTCACTGGGTGATCAGTGGGAATAAACACACTGCTGTCACATATACCTTGTCTCCCATGTTCACCTTGGTGAAGCTGAGCGTTTGGAGGTGGCTGCTTGAAGCTCGGAGGGATGGAGCGATGGTCTCTACCAGCAGCCTCTCCATGTACTGGCCTACAAAGGGCCACACCTGCTGCAGCACCTGGACAAGCCACCAAACACCACACGTTTTAATCACGTTGTCCAAGTCATAACCAGCAGGAGACGAGTGACATGGGACAGCTGGGGAGCGCTGATCCTTCTCAGCGGTTCTTCTCTGTAACAATACACTCGGATAAGGCAACTATTAAGAAATGAACTTCAACACAACGTTCAAAACTTCCTCTTGAGACTTAATTTCCACTCTTAGAAGGGAAGAATGTAAAAGCAGAGGCCAAATTTGGCTGTGTGGGAAAAAACCACAGCGTTGGTTCTAGTCTGGCATAGTTAGAGGGTGAGTCATCAGCTGCTCGCTCCTCTAGGACAGGGAGAATCCGCTGATCGTCCCTTCATTTGTCTGTTGTCTGGCGCTCAGATCTCGTGGCTTTAGTTGCTGTGGGTCTGACGTGCACAGGGTCTGTAATTTTATTTAGTCTGAAGGGAAGGAGCAGCTCCACCCCCTTCCTGCCTGCCTGGTCGGCTGTAATGAAATGGAAACGTTGAGAGGGTTGCCTGGCTCTGCGCCCGCCTGTACTGCAGTCCATCCATGCTAACAGGGGGGAGGCATTTTCAGGAGCATCCATGTAACAACAGGCTGTAGCACCAGATTAAAAACCCACCATGTGCTGTCAGGCGTCCGTCAGCACCGCAGCTGGGTTACTGACCGGGTGGACAAATGTTTGTTGTACTTTAAAAAGAACTCGGCGTCATTCGTGAAAAATGCAAAAGCAAAAGAGGAAAGGTGTCTTCTCACCTTATTCAACCATTCGACCTTCTCCACATCTGGGAAATTCACCTAGAAAAGACAAGAGCACGTAGGAACCGCGTTGGTTTCATGGTTAACAGAGCGTGGTGAACACACAACAGGGTGGGGAAACACGTCAGGAACCACAGTCAGAAAGATCACAGCTCTCAGCTCAGACAGCTTTGACAGATGAGAGCCTACCTTTACGATTTAAGTGTTTGAAAGGCTTTAGTCTATTAATATTTCAGCATTCTTTTTCTTCTAATGAGAAGGTGATATTGAATTTGTCTCAGGGCTGGAAATCACTACAAAGCAGCACTTTTTAATAGTGTAAAGAGATGCCAAGTGCTCACTGGTGGTGCAAGCAACTACGGAAATCAAAAGCAGGAACCTGATGGGTGTGTGGTAAGCAGATCACAACTCTACCTAAATCTGTCATTCACCAAACATGGATGTGCATAAATGCATTAATAATTAGACTTTTATTACATTAAAATATTTTACGTAGCTGCAACAAACAAAAGTTATTTTACACTATTTCACAGCAAAAAGCTGTTTTCTTTCAATTTGATGCATGAACTATTAATAATAAAAAGTTAACAGTTTCATGTTTTCTGTAATAAATCTTAGATTTATAAAGCATATAAATTACTGGTCTGGTTTACAGAGAGAGAGGCATGTCCGTTGTGATAAAGGGAAGAGTTAAATGATTTGTACCCATGCAGGAAGGTCTCGCTTGATTTTGGACACGTTCGTGTACGCGCACTCCTCCTCGTTGTCCAGCAGCTGCATAGCTGACCTCAGGCGCTCCTCCTTGGCCTCCCGGGCATGTTTCCATCCCGTGTACACCATCATCCCGCACACCAGCAGGCTGGTGCTTACCCGGTAGTACCCGGCCAGGTAGACGGGCAGCAGGGCTCCGAGACATTTACCGAAGGTCCAGAGCACCGCGACAGCGCTGATCCCCCTGGGCTTGGTAGGTTCTGCTCTCACGACGATCATCGGTGTTTTCTCCTCTGGACCGCTGACCCCCGGACTCTCTGCGCCCTTGAGACTGGACAGCTCCGAATTGTCACTCATTGTTTTTCTTTTTCCTTTAACTAGTTAAATAAATGACGAGTCAGACCAAAACGTCCCTAAAGTTTCATGTCTAACTTTAACTATATAAGCAAACTGCACGTGAGCTGTGGCGTCCGTAAAATCACAGTCGGTCCATTTGGTCTTGGGAGTTTTCGTGGTTTTATCGTAGAACTAGCGCAACTCCAGCAAAAGTTAAAACCTGAGTGCCTCACCCAGTCCCGTTAGCTGGACGAGAACACGCCCACTGGCACGAGAAAAGCGGCTCCTGGGTTTTCGCTACTGCGTCACGTTTAGCTGCCACCGTCATTACTGCGGTTTAGCCGAAGCCAGGCGGTAGTCCAGGTAAATAAAAATGATACTTATTGAATTTAGATGTGCTCTTACCGCTCTGATGGTGAATAGTTTTATGGTCAATCCGATGTCACGGTCCTTGAAAAATACTTCGTGCTTTTCAGGCATATGTAGGCCAGCCCGCGACATCTTCCTGTCTGAATACCAAATGTCCTGCAACACCGACGCATCGGAAACATCAGTGCGTGGCTTTATACAGCACGTATTATAAACGCATTTCTGATACATGTATGGCTTCTTTGTGGCATATTTTTAACAATTTAAACAAGTAAAACGAATAATACTTTTGGTTTTTAAATCCGCGCGGAAACATCAAATTTTCCGCAGTGTTTAGCCAAAAAACGTGATGCTAGCTCTGCAATGAAAACAGTTTTAAGTGTCTAAATACATAAAACTTGGTAAATGCATAAAATCCGATTTACCAAAACCGGGGTTATTAGAATACAATCGAAAATAAAGTACAAATTATATAGTTGTATATTTAATGAGGTGACTGAATGGGTCTCAAACTCCTACATATTCTTCCAACTACATAAGAAGGGGCTGAGACTAATAGCTGTTTAAAGAGAGGGTGGCTCTCAGGTGAAGAAACAGAGATGAACTATTACACCACACAACTCCTCCCAAATAACTGAACCAACAGGATGTTTAAAGTATTTAAGTACTTGGAGCACTTCGAATAACTGAAATATTCCCATGTACAGTGAAAAGTCTATTGTAAACATATCAATGAAACATTAGAGACAAATAACGCAAGAGTGCCAAGAGATTGTTTTTTACATGTTGAAAGTACTAAAATTTATTTTGCAACAGATCAATCCACATAAGTATAAACAAACTCCTCCCAGAGTATTCATGTACACACATGGACACACAGCAGTCCTGTTCAATAGTTAAAACACTTGGAGAATCATAATAAAAATGTTAAGAAAACAAAACACAGAAACTTCACACATTAACTTATTTGACACTTTGGGGTAAAATATACCTTGGCCGCATTTTAAGGTCCCGCTAACATTCATGAAACGTAACAGCGCCACAGGACACAATATTGTCATCAAGGGAAAACCAGACAAAGAAAATTAAAATGTCAACATTTACCGCCACTGCCGTTCTGTTCAATCACATAAGAAGCTCTCTGTCAACATTTTAGAAGTTCAAATTAAAGGTTCAGGTTTCCTCAGTGAGGCAGGGTGGTGATCCTCATGCTTTGACTTGCGATGGGGTACGACACCATCGGAGTGGTGGCGTGACTCATGGTGATGCCCGGCAGAGGCTGCGTCATGGACACGGCCACTGGTGCCACAGATACAGCCACCTGCGCCATAGAAACAGGCGGAGCCATTCCTTGTGCAATAGTCTGTGCAAGGGCTGCCGAGAGCGGGGTGATCTCTGGGTTGAGGTGTGGTGGAGGGGCTGTGGGCGGAGCTGCGTTAGATGGCGGAGCAGAAGGGGCACCGGTGGGAGCGACCAGGTCTTGCTGTGTAACAGGCCGAGGCTGCAGTCCTGCGCTGCTGAGGGTGGTGTGAGTCTGAGCAATGCTGTGGTTGTAGGAGCTTACTGCACCCACAGGAGGAGCCAGATTCTGCTCAGCAGGCGCAGGAGTGGAAGTCAGCGTCATCACCTTGGCTTGGCTCCGGAACTGAGCGTTCTGCTCCAGGAGAACCTCATTTGTAGCGAGGAGATTGGAAACCTGAGAAACACAAGAGACAAGGATTTAAAATAACAAGAGACACGTGTCTCATGTGTTGTCCTCCACCATACTCAAAGGTGAAACAAATGTATTTTATAACAATTTGAATATCATCCAACTTTTTGTCATACAGTTACTTTTCATTTTTTCCCTCCAACTTTATGATGAATCTGTATTAAGCTGTAATATTGCCAACAGAGTCTGTACTATTCTATGTAGAAAATACTGTTTTAGAAGAAGCTCCCAGTTAAAGCTTTCAGATCTGTGTATTTTCTAAATGTCTGAAAATAATATAGAAACTTTCTATTTTTAATTTAGCCAACTGTAAACTATCATTCCAGACGTGTAAAGGATTGTTTTGTAACAAACACAGTTTCTAACTTCAAACACTGACTGTGGCAGAGCTGATTAAATAAATCGGTAAGCTGACCTCTACGCATGTTTTGTACCGTATTTTCCGGACTATAAGCCGCTACTTTTTTCCCCATGCTTTGAACCATGCGGCTTATAATGAGGTGCGGCTTTACTGAAGATTTTCCTTCACCTGCCACCAGGGGGCGCTTTAGCAGAAAGTGAAACAGGTGGAAGTCAAACGTGGGAATCGAAGAAAGTGCTCATTTTAATTTAGCACATGCAAGCAGCCGGCACGAAGAAGATTTTTTTTCAAATCCATACCCCCTCATCATGGTAACTAGGAGTTCATATGATGCCGCATTTAATTTGAAGGCCATCGATCTGGCAGTAAAGGAGGGAAACAGTGCTGCCGCACGTAAGCTTGGCATGAATGAATCCACGGTTCAGCGCTGGAGACGGCAGCGGGAAGAACTCATTCAAGCCAGCTTCACCCGGGGATGATGACAGCAACACGGACAGCGACACCGACATCGCCACAGAAAAGGTATGTGACGAAGCTCTTCTGAGGCTGTTCAACTCCGACACTGAAGAAGACTTTAATGGCTTTAGTGCACAAGAGGAAGATGAGAGCGAATGACTTTTTCTGGTAGGCAAGTGTGTTTTATTTACTAACCAGGCATGTTTTGTGTGCAGTTTTTATTTTCTAATCATCCAGGGCTTATTAATGCTGTGTCAGCGCTGTTTTTTTCATCTAAACATGCAAATTACCGGTAATAACGTGTCAGTTCTGTTTTTATTTTATAACCATCCAGAAATATGAATGCTATCAGTGCTGTTTTCTTTTCTAAACTTGCAGGCACGTTCACCCGTGTTTAAAATCCGTTTTGTTGAATTTAAACAACGAAAACCCTCCGTGTAGCGTCTTTCTGTCTAATTATCTTATGTTATGGCCGTACATGCGCTGTGCGCCAGAGACCTGCATGTGGCTGCTGCGCCGTGGCTTGTGAGTAGAAAACCTTTTTTTTTTTTTTGTTGGTGCGGCTTATATTGAGGTGCACTCTATAGTCCGGAAATTACGGCATATTAAAAACCTTTGTTAATCTCTAATAATTTAGTTTTTTAACCTGCTTCTTCAGCTCTTCCACTCTTTTCCTCAGCAGGGAGTTCTCCTCCTCGAGGAATCTGTACTCCAGAGGACGAGGTTGAAGGGTGGCTTGAACTCCCAACTCATAGTGTCCCCCTCCGCTCCCGTCTGTCAGACGTAGGCTCTCTAGCCGTCGCCTCTTCAGCTGGAGAGCAGTGTGGTCTATAGTAGCCTCCAGAGAACCAGCATCAAACAGCCCACTCTCCAGCAGGGGGTCGTACACAGAGCACATGCTCCTCTCATAGCGTCTCTGTCCTGAAGACCCGATGGACAGACAACCACTCATTCCACCTCCACCTATCCCCCCAACCCCTGAAAAGCCTGGATCCCTGCACCCACCCAGGCTGGTGCAGCCAGTCCCCACCATGTTACTTCCACCTCCCACGAGTCCTTGAATCCCTCCGCAAGTTCCTCCCCCTCCTATTCCTCCAACAGCATTCACGATCCCACTCGCGCCCTGCCCCACAACACCCCCCACCCCAGCCCTCAGAGATTCATATTCATAGTCCTTTTGGACGTGACGAAATTTACATTTATTGCCTCTCAGGCACTCTCCCTTCAGGAAGTCCCTGCAGATGGGAACCTCCTCCCTGCTTAGGGGGAGATCCATCGGAGAGAGGCCCATTCGTGCAGCGACTTTTCCTCTTAGTCTGGGGGGCAACGCTCCAGTCTTCTTGTAATAGTCCTCATCTTCTTTAGTTCCGTGGACAAAGCGGCAGTTGGAGCGCATGCAGTCCTTGTTCTGATAGTCATGGCAGAAGATGAACTCGTTCTTTTGAACTCCCAAGTCCGGAACCTCGTTAAAGTCTGGGTGTCGGAAGCGGCAGCGCTTGCCTCTCTTGCACACATTACGTATGAAGTCCCTGCAGACTCCATCCAACGCTAGTCCTGCACCTTGCCCCCCTCCGCCGCCATTCCCAAATCCATTAGTGTTTCCGGGCGCACCCCCTCCACCCATGCCCCCTGAGCCAGAGACGTTTCCACCACTTCCAGAACCACCTCGGCCGTCCGCTGAGCCCCCTGCCAAACCTGATCCTGGTCCTCCTTCCTCACCCAGGCTACCACCACTCCCACCACCACCAGACAGGTAGGAACTGTCCCGGTCAGGCATGGCGCTTGACCCGGCTCAGAGAGAAATCAGGACTCATGTGTATGTGAAGGGTGCCCGATCAATCCTGGTAAACATGCACATACACAGGTCAGGGTGTCACCAACGTTTTTAAGTTATCCCAGAGGAATGAAAAGTAAATGACGCAGAACTGCAAGACAAAAATCCCACAGAAACTCAATTAAACTTGTGTCCATAGACCTTTGAGGTTCATAAGAGAAATACAAAAAAATAAAAACATCTAAGTAAGTTAAATAACTCAGTTGGTAAAACAAATATTTTAAATAAAAATATAATATTTAATTCAGAAATAAAAGTTAAAAAAATAACTGAAATTCAAACATTGCCTGTGGGCTTGTTCCAGCAGAAATCTGAAACCTAACGGCTCCGCATCCTAATCTGTGGCTGCAGCAGTTTGGATCAAGGGTGAATTTTAAACAGAGTTGAGTTCCTTTCAACATGTTTAGAAGTCAAATATAACAAATGTTGTAAAAGTAAACCCCAAAATAAGTTTAGCTAACTGCATACACAACTAAGAAAGATCTAGGTGACTTGAATTTGTACATAATAAGTAGCACCACTGTTGCTTTAGGACGGAGAGAAACAACTTAGGTCCCCCAAGGCACTTCCCAGCATGTTTTAGTTGTTTCTCTGCTCCCAAAACATGTTTCAACGGTTGAATCACCAGTTCAGCAGGTCATCAAGCTTTGCAAAACCCAATTATTCTTCCACTGATTAAAATCGGGCGTATTGTGACAGAGAAACCTCTAAACACACACACACACACACACACTTATGAGAAACATCTCAACAGACGTGTCTCTGCGTCAACACACCTGTTCTTAATCAGCAGGTGGTTAGCAGGCTTCAGCAGGGTTTGAGCAACCACTGGATCAGGTGATCCGAAGCAGGGAAACCACTAAAACATCCCGGATGGGAGCTCTCGTGGACCAGAGTTGCCTACTCCTGCTTAAGAAGAACTAATTAAACCTGAAGGAAACCGCCCAATTCACAACGCAGACGACTTCATTAGGTCATGAGGTCAGTTTGAAATGGTGTGACGACCTCGCTAATGCTGCACGGCTAAATGCTAACAAGCAACCTGGAAAAAGCAAACATACAGCTTTTAAAACTTCTCACCAGATCCGGTTTCAGGTACGAAAGGCCTTCTAGGGGAACCAATAAACGTCAACATTAACTCAGCTAACAACTGAATACGAGTTATGTTGGGGGGAGTGCGTTAAGGCTCGGTGCTGTTTACCACCTTTCTAGCTGCGTCCTTAACCACCAACGAAGAAGACTTGCTTTCTTCCTCGTCTACTTTTTTCTCGGTTTGATGTCTTCTGCCCTCTAGTGGTAAAGACAACGAGTACACCGTAAATCTGGGAAATCAATTCAAACTCCATTAAAAAAAGGTGTTTATAGAATTTAGCAGCTACTCAGACCAGGTCTTATAAACATGGAGAATTTTGACGTGATTTCTGTCTGTTAGTGAGTTTAAAAAGCCTTTGAGTAGAAACCAGCTGTCAAACAGCATGGGAACAGCTGTTCGCTTCTAGAAAACTTCCTTTGTGTAGTTCTTTGTTCCTAAAGCTTAAAGAATTCCTGTGGATACCAGCCTGTGTGGTCCTGCTGCTGAGGTTCACCCTCCTTTGACATAGTTAGAGCTTAGTTAAACAAACTTAATTCAACCGTTATATTAATTTATTAGCATGCAAACACAACTTACTTTGGTTAAGTGGACTAAAGGAAAACAATTACAGTTTTTCTCTATTGGTTTGGCTCTTTTCTTGAAACAGAAATTACATTCTAAAAATAACATGGACAAACTTCCAAACCTCTTGGCAAATGTTCACAACAGAATTTCTCATTCATTTTATCAAATTGCAAATGCCTTAGTACATGTCTCAATTGTCTCAGTGCTTCTTTGCAAATGATTAAGTACATGTAGCCTACAGTTATGCAGTTAGCCCACATTTAGCACATTTTCCAAATGAATAGATCTAAACTGATTAGTTGATTCTCAGTCCAATGATCATTCTCTCCAAAACATGTCAGCATGCACAACTGTCTGTTCAATTGTCAGAATTGGTCAAGAACATAATACCATGAATACCATATATGGATTTCTTTGAATATTTGATACATTGATGACAGTCATTGACAGTCAGGTGATACTAGACTAACGAACAGGAAGCGTCACACAGGTGATTTCCATGATCGTGTGCTGCCATTTCTGACGATGGTGTGGCCACTCACATCTCCAGTCTTGGTCCATACAACACACACAAGCTCCTCATCTTCTCGGATCGCCTTTATTCTGATTTTATCCCAGAAAATGAGAGAGGTCTCATAGGGCCTCACCTACCCATTTATGTTATTGTGTGGGACAATGCCAATTTCCACCATAGCCCACTCATTGGGGGCTGGTTTGCAACACATCCAAGGATGGCCATGGCGTTCCAACCACCTTACTCTCCTTTCCTCAATCCGATCGAGGAGTTTTTTTTTCATCTCTGAGGTGGAGAGTGTGTGAGCATCATGCTCAGGATCAGCCGCCCCTACTCCATGCTATGGACGCAGCGTGTGATGACATTACAGGAGATCAATGCAGGGGATGGTTGCGGCATGCGCGCCGTTTCTTCCCTCGTTGCATCACAAGAGAAAGTATCTGCTGTGATGTGGACGAGAATCTGTGGCCAGATGGACAACAGCGTGTAAATTTCCATTTTTATGGGAGAGTAAAGCTTTTCATTCCCGTTGTGCCTCGGGTCAATGTGTCGAGTTTAACTGAGATATGACCTTGAGGAGCTTTTCCCTTTATGGGATGTCTTGTATATTCAGCTGACCAGCCCGGAGCGTTACGGCTCTGTTGTGGGAGTGTTCACAGTCACACGGTAACAGAACATTTACTCATCCACAGTGTTTCCCTGCACCAGCACTTTACAGTTCTACTCATCTCACGTCTCTCGGGGCCGTTGTGCACTTTGACCCAGAGGACATCCTGTTCCTCTTCAGCAGCTGTAGCCCGAGCAGTTGGAAAACTTCTCCCAAGCTTGGCAGTTCTACTGAGATAAAAGAAGACAGAGGGGTTTTACAGAGCCCGACTCAAACGATGATGGTAAGTAGTTTCTAAAATCCTGAGAGGGTCATGTGACGAACCCAGACTCTGACGGCAGAAGAAGGAGATTAATTTCTTGCCTTTAATCTAAATTCACTTTTCTTCTCCTGGCAGGAAGAGGTAAAGGACGTGTCTGCAGGGAGCGTCCATGGGGACACCATCAAAGTTACGGAGGTCCTGCAAGACGGGGACACTCTTACCTTCATAATCGTGTCTCAAAAGGTGTAAAAATACTTGATTTGAAAACTCCAAAGGTTTCTTAGCTAGCTGTAATTCATGTATTTAAATGATAATAATCCTGAAATTAAATCCTAATCTGTGGTCTAATCCAGCTCTCTGGGACAGGGGAGTACCACGTGGACCGCACCTATGATGACTTTGAGTGGCTCCAGCAGCACCTGTACACTCAGGAGGATGTGCCCGGGATTCAGGGAGTCATCGTGAGTGCTTTGTGTTTTCTTAATAATCTCTTTTTGTCTAATAAAGAGGTTAAATACCATGACTTTGTGGATTTTCCTGCTTTTTTGGGGGGATAATTTGTGTTTTGTCATCATTTTTTAAACTTCCTGCTGTAGCTGTGAACATAAGAAAACACACCAGGTGCTAAGAAAAGCGAAATAATTAATCAGTCGTTTAATTCTCACATTCTCAGCACTTCCTCACTTCCTGCTGTTCTTTAAACAGGAAAATGACCTTTTTCCTGGAAGCTGATGCAGAAAATCAAGTGGACATTTTTACTTTAGTTGTTGATTTTTATGATCTGCGACGCTTCCTCCCACGTTAGCATGTGCAGCTCGGCTTTCTTTATTGTCAGAGTAACGTTGGTGTGGGGAAGAGAAACGGTGCTCTCTTTGTTTGTTTTTAAGTTTCCTCCTCTTCCAGTAAGGCCTCAGGTGAACGCATCTGCCAAAGTTATGAAACAGCTGGGTGAGCAGACATGAACACGAAATAAAACGACTCTTTAAAATAGATTTCACTAAATAAAATCTGTCCTGGATGTTTTCCTTTCAGGCTTCCTGGCTTTAGGAGAGTGGCAGCCCTACTGCAGGGCGCTGGAAACATTTCTGCAGCAGGTTGTTGCACACCGCCTACTCAGCAAAAATCAGGCCTTGGAGCTCTTCCTGACCAGTGCAGATGTAAGTTCGACACACACACACACACACACACACACATACACACACACACACACACACACACACACACACACACACACACACACACACTTTTGTGAAATAAAACTGGGTTTTGGTCGTCGTTTCAGTAAAGGAAAACAAAAAGTAACA